AAGGACCGTGTATGGAAGTACCTCCTGGAAAGAACATGCGTTGCCCTTCACTTTTAAGGAACTCTACAGTTATGGCGTTATCATCAGTGTATGTAATTTGACGAATAGAGCCCCCGCCAGTTCTTCTCACTTGCTTGAACCTGGCGCCTTGTGCTCTATGTAGCCATCCTATTCTTATTTTCTTCTGTTTTACTTTGCTTTCGGTCTTTGTGGATGCAGGCTCTTTTTTTTTTACATTCTTTCTTTCGTTTCTTATTTTGTCGATGGCTCGCCTTATTTCTTCCTTCCTGTTATCTAAAATAAATAATATTTTCGTGTTATTTTGATTGCAGTCTATTTCTTGCCATAATTGTGATAATAATAATAATGATAATGATGGAAAGTTTATTTCATATTGCCATGTTTTACGCAAACAATTTACGTACAATTGACTACTTGAAAACATACACCTACTTGCAACAACGTTGTCATAGGAAAAAAGAACATTTGTAGTTTAGTGGGATAGGAATAAATTAGGTTGACAAAAGAAGATCACTGAAGCTGAACTCTTTCTTTTGTCTTCAGAGTTCAGCCTCATTGATCTTCTTTTGTCTTTAATTTATTCCTTTCTCACTAAATTACTTATGTTCTTTTTTCTTGTGACGTTTCTGCAAGTAGGTGTATAAACTTTTTGATATGAGACCGTTAAAGGAACTGATAAAATTAATAATAGTAATAATAACTAATAATGAATTTATATTTGTCATATTTTATATTTTATCCCTTTGATACTTGAAGGCCCACCAGGGGTATGATTTACAACCCCCTGTACTCCTTACCAGTTAGTAATTTACACTCAGTGGCGTRGCTAGAACCCAGGAAAAGGAAAAATTTGGGTGGACACCCATAATAAAAAGCTAAAAAATATTGAATTTTCATATTTTTTCTGATACATTCTAACAAAGTTTCTTAAATTGTGGAGGGGGCACTTCTCCCCCCTCCCCTCTCCCCCCTCCCTAGCTACGCTACTGATTTACACAGTTGGTTGATTTGGATTGGCTGGAATGTAATATTTGAACAAAAAAAAAAACTTAGGGGAAAAATGTAAATTAGGTATGTAGTTAGTTTGACAGACAAACAGAGCAAAGGGGAGAGAAATTAAAGAGGTAACGGGGGGTTCTAACTCTTTTGATAATTCAAACCACAATGTAGATTTAAACTACACTAGTGATCTCGAACCGTGTTTTATAGTCCCGTTAAGTCAGGTGGATGAATGTAGATGTTTTTTTCCCATATCATTAGTGATCTTCCTACAATGTTTCATTGGGGTATCAACAAGATGCATCTACCTAACTGAATAGACCATGGTCATTGGATGAAAAACTCCTGAATTATTAATGTGTTTGAGAATTGTAGTTACATGCATTTTGGCATAGGTTTTTATCTACAGGAGTAGCGGATGGGGAGGGAATAGCCAAAAATGACATATTCTGATCATCTTTGGCCACCCCATGAAAAATGGCAGTAGTTTTTAAAAATYCTTACTCAATAAGATAGGAAATTTAAAAATTAATAACAAAGCTGGTAAATCCAAAATAGATAATTAAATATAATCTAATAATAGTAACAGCTTGATTTTTGTCATATGAGAGCAACCATATAAAGCTATGTTGTAGCTTGCAAAGAACATTTGTGAGGTTATGTACTAYATTTGTCAGATAATGTGTCTAGGATGAACAAAAAGGGGAATTGTTTTTCAAATCTCTGTAGCAGCCTGTAGATAAAGGTTAGCTTGAGGCTAATGTTTTTTGTTAAGCTAGTGTTATATTGTGCCATTTTAATGAGTTAATGATTTCTAGTCCATACCTTGTATTGGAGAGNCCTTCCTTAAACCGCCTGTAAAACCCGTAAATCTTTGACATTGACCGCGAGTCCCCCTTACTGCTGCTCAAATACATTAAGTGGTTACACTTCATCAGCAATAAAGCATTTTTATGAAAATTATCAGTGATGTTGCCATAACAACATGCACATTTCACTGACAAAACTCCATGACAACTTCGTGACAAAACTTCTGTAGCACCAAACTCAACTGAGAAGTACAGTAATAACTGCAGACTAATATGACTAAAATGGAATTAAGTTCTAAGCTTTCCTTTTAATGATACTTTATTTAGAGAGAATTTTATAACTGCATGATGACATCAAAATTTTCTTCTGTGTTTGGTCGGAAGTCTGCTGTTGTCATAGGAATGATTCATGTGGATCCCTTGCCAGSTACAAATTCCAAATAAACATTGGGTGATTTAATAATGAAATTTTGTTAAAGATGATGGAGTGCAAACAATGTATTCAGTGAAATAGCAAAAAAAAAAAACAACTAGATAACAAATCTATTTCCTTTCTTTTAAATTGTTTCATTGATGCTATTTTCCACTAATTATTGTACTATTTCTTGGAGGTATGGTTTGCATTCTATTGTACAACATTATTAAATTTTAATAAAGGATAGACTGAGATATTTTTCATGTTGTAGCCTCTGATGTTTTTTTGGCAATCTTCTAGGAAAAGCAATTTTGTATTCATTTTTGTTTCTTATTTAGGAACTCCATTAAATAAATTGTCAGTGGATCAGATTGTTAAAAATGCTAACTGTGAGGCACAGATTTRCAAGAAGACAGGGGTGGTGAGTATGTGAAGTCAGTAACGTACTGACTTCAATACTTATTCATTCATGTTCATTCATTCATTTGTTTGTTTGTTCATTCATTYCCTTGTTCATCCATTCATTTATTTTTTCTCTTTTGTTAGTTTTTTGTGTGTATAATTCTAGATTATACTTTAAATTCATATATTAGGTAYACAAATATACAGTTGACTCTCTTTGACCAACCAGCTTCTAAAATTCTTATCTCCTTTTTTCATGTAACCACTGATATCGAATTTCTCCTAAGTGACTGATGAAGAAGTGTAAATCATACCGCTACCACTTTTTTTAGCAACACCTTTTTAGTTTGGTCATTTATGCAGGCATTTACTTCAAACCGCAGGATGCTGTCATGGTAGAAAACATGCATGACCTTCCGTATCTCAACCGTCAAGTTGGACC